ACAGTAGTAGAAGCTGATAGAAACTGCCTGGATAATGTCAGTCATCAAAGTTAGCATTACAAGATGGAATTTCTAGGTGAGCCGACAAACTTCTTGGTGGGATGTGGTTAGAAAGACATGCCACATGCTTATCATTTCTCTCCAGCTCGTCCGATCTACGTCAAAGAATCAGGTAGACCCACCTCATTCAGGTTTTATAAGGTGTCCTACAAAGCAAGGACAAAGCTAGCCTGTGAGAGGTCAACATTTCATCAAGGATTTAGCTGCAGCATCTGATAGAGTTCACAGAAGTGGGGTGCAAACGTGAAGAAATAGTGAGCCTCAGGAATAGATAAATGAATAGAATTCCTTGTTCATTTTCCAAAACATTTTTAATTTCTAGTAAAAATGTTAAGTGTGAGGAATGAATAAATAAATATAATGTCTCTGCCTTCATCAGTGTTGGTGGAAGCCCCTTTCTTTTGCCCTTAGTTAGTTGGTTAGTAACATTTGGGCTAAAGGATGGTCCATCTATGTCAGTCTGTCAGTATAGTTTGCCTTTATTTTTCTCACATGCTGTATGTTAGTTTGGGACCTGCGTTTCATGTTCTCGTCTTTATGTTCTTGCCACAGTGGCGTCATCTCCCTGTAACTCTGCTAGTAGCAGTGAAAATTAAGGTTTTTTTTTTTCAAATGATATAATGAGTCTCACAGGTAGTTTTAATTGGGGTTCAGTCATTTACATGTATATGTGGGGTGAATGGAAATACTTCTTATGGCAAATTAGGTCTTGTGAACAGTTCCATCATGGGAAGCACGGGGTTTGAATTCCCCTCTTGAGGCCGGACTTTTTTCTTCCTAGTACATTCTCGTGTTCTTATTCTAGCCATTGCTGCAGTGATGAGCTCTGCATGGGTATGATGGGATGGGACATGTGCCATCAATCCTTTGTCCTCACCTTCTGTGCTGGGCCTTCTTCATAGCCATTTCTATTTTTTGATTCATGCTTGGGGGAAGTTTGAAGTCCTATAGCCATTGCAAACGAGTAAAGGACAAGAAGCCTGAGAGGAAGCATCTCTCTTCATCCTTCTGCTTGGGAGATCTAAGGATCGGTTTGCAAAACAAGTCCTAAGAGGATGGATGAGCTGCCCACATTGCTGATGAGCTCAGTCTAACCCTCTTGAATGGCACTCCCCCTGTTCCCCTGCTCTTCGTGTCCCCTCAGCACTCACCCTTAGAATTGACTCCCCAAATAACGTGCATGCAGGCCTTGTGCCAAGGGCATTGTGTCTCAGGGAAGCCAGCCTTAGACAATGGGATCTTTCTAGTTATGACTGGAGAGTGTGGGAATTTATTACAATGGCCACTTTATTTGAGTGCCCACAATATCTAGAACAAACCTCCGGCAGAGCATCAGGAGACTTCCTAGTCACTCTTCAGCCTCTGGTAAGTTATTTTCCCATCCGATGATGGCAGAGCCACAGTAAGAGTGTGCTATGGAGACTTGTTTGTAAGACTGGAGGATTCGTCCAGCTTCTTTTAAGACTGTTTTATGGGAACTAAAGAGTGTATGAATACAAAGGTACTGAGCATGGTTGAGAGTTTCAAGAAAGGGGTTTGTGGGGGAGCTTGGGATGAATTCCAGTGACAGAGCCAAGATCCAAAAGAGACATCTGGGAAGGAGAAAGCATTCATCCTTGTTCATAATGATGGCCACAATGAGACACAAAGCCAGGTCAGGCCAGGCAGTTTGGGGTTGTTCCTGTAAAGGCCACTTGAGTGAGGCTGGGGCTCATTAGTCAATTGCATCAACCTATTCTGAGAAAGAGAAGTGGGGATCAGTCCCAGCTTAGACAAGAGCATAGGTGACTGGAGCCAGTGGAGGGCTACAAGCTCGGGCTGGTTGCCTTCTCTAATTACTTGTTTCACTGTATAGCTCAGGTTAATCCTGTGACTTGGGTCTCGGTGGTTAGAATCCTGTGACTCAGGCCATAAGCAGTTGGGTATTTTGTGTTAGAGTAACGTATAGAAGTTGAAGACCTGATTATATCCTGTCTCTTTGCAGCTACCCCAAGGGAACACTTAATGAGTGATGCTTGCCTCAAGAAGAAGAAGAATTAACAATAGCTATATTATGCCTATTAATTTATAGTTACTGGTTGCTATAATTAATGCTATTTATGAAAATCATCATAATTATAGTGCTTTACAAAGTATGTTCCCATCCACTTTCTTATCTGAGTTTTCAACAACTCTCTTGCTGAGGCCGGGTGGGCGATGGTCTCCTTTGCTTTCCAAATGAAGAAACTATGGCTCTGGGAAGCATTTAACCAGGCTCCGATCCAGTGTCCTTGCCAATTTGCTGTGTTAGCTTTGTGTATGTGTGGATGCCCCTATCAGATTTCTGCTCATCATAATTTCAAGTCCACACATAGGAATACCAAATTCATTTGGTTCTCGGTAGCTGTCCTGTGGGGTGGTATATCCTTCCCTCCACCTAGTGCTAACTCTCTCTATGCAGAATGTTCTGACACTTCGGAGGTCTTTGTTTTTACTTTTTTGAGATGTTGCTACAGTTGTATTGTGGGTAAAGATAGGACTCTGTGATAGAGAAATCTATCAGTATTACTTCCCTAATAGAAACATATCTACCTTCATAGCTTTGCCATGGGCTAGTGAGATGGCTCTGTGGTTAAATATTTTTGATGTGCACATCTGGTGACCCTGGTTCTATCCTCAGAGGACACATAAATGTGGAAGGAGAGAATCAATACTCCAGAGTTATCTTCTAACCTCCAATGCAGGCTATGACCTGTGGGTACCTACCTGTACCTGCACCCACATGAGAGTGCAAGTGTGTGCACATGTGCACACACATGCACACACACATGCACACACATAAGCACCCCTCATGCCAATAATAATTAAAAGAGTATAAAATTAAAAAGTTGAATAAGACAGAATCTCAGGTTTAGACAAGAACACAGCTACCTAATACACCACTCTTTTTCCAGTGCGGGCTGGGCATGAGTTCTGAGAGTGATTTTTCAGTTTCATAAATCCAGTCTTGGAAGCTGTGCTCTCCATCCTGCTGCTCGTTTGAATCAGGGTGCTCACAGGTGCACATAGTCTGAGCCATTTGATTTCAGTTTTTGATCATGTAGTAATTTCCTGCTTCTTGGTATATATGTCATGTTTAGTACCTGGAAGATGTTGATACAAGCAAGGCCCTGAACGAAAATCCTTGGAATACTGATGGTGTCATTATTCACCAATGCATTTTTTTTTTTAAAAAGAAGATTGCCTACTGAAACATTCATATACTTCAGGCCCTGAGCAGGAGACTGTGGGGCACAGTGTGACCTAAACGAGTTACATCTTTATTTTCATCAGTCTCGCATTGCTGTAGGCACGACAGGGCCATGTACAAATGGGTCTAAAAGACAGCACGTGTTGGTGGTCAAGATGACTAGCCAAGTAAACAGGGCAGATTGAGGGGATAACGGAACAGAGTCGTCTCGGCAGCATATCCCACATGGCAAAATACCTACTTTAGACAATGTGCTAATGGGCACCCATTTTTAAAGAGGGCTCACACACAAGGAAGCAAGGTGATCAGTCATCTAGGGTAGGATCCATGGAACTGATGCCCAACTTTCAACATACGTGTAGCTGATCGTCCCAGTTTTCCTGGTGTCAACCCAGGACTGGGGAGGCTTAGCTTGTGCTGACTGTCTTTGCACAGTGCCAGCCAGTACATCAGACTCCAGTCATGCTACCTCAACACACGTAAATAACTTTTAAGACTCAGGGAAAGTGGCGTGGTGAGAAAAGCACTCAAAATAAATAAATAAAAAATTAAATAAATAAATAAATAAATAAAGAAAGAAAGAAAGAAAGAAAATGAAGAAAGAAAATAAAAATAGTAATTTAGTCAGGTTCTGCAGTGGCATGTTGGGAAAAGCACTCTAAATAAACAAACAAGTTAATAAATAAATGGGGAAAGAAAGAAAGAAAGAAAGAAAGAAAGAAAGAAAGAAAGAAAGAAAGAAAGAAAGAAAGAAAAAAGAAAGAAAGAAAAGGGGAACTAGTCAGGTTCTGTAGTGTTCCTGATGCCATTTGTTTTATAAGTATATTTGATTCAAAGTTGTAAAGTTAATACACCGCTCTTCTTCTAAACCCTCGTATGTGTCCTTGCTTTGAACTGGAGGCCGACTTTTGCTTGCTTTCCCCAGCCCTGTGCACAGTCGCAGAATGTGGCCTGTGGCAGTACTGCTGCTCTCCTGTTCATTCTGAGGGCAGGTGATGTGGACCACTGGTGGCTAAGTCCCATTGTTCTCCTGCTCCCTCACACAGGCTCACTCTGCCTGCCTCCTGTGCAGCTCTGTGGCCAGTGTCCTACGTGACCTGCTTCCTGTGCAGCTCTGTGGCCAGTGTCCTACGTGACCTGCTTCCTGTGCAGCTCTGTGGCCAGTGTCCTACGTGACCTGCTTCCTGTGTAGTTCTGTGGCTTCAGTCCTAAGTCACCTCTTTCTGTTTCACGTTTTATGAGTTGTGCATGGGCTCCCTTACATACACTGCTATCACCTCCTGACCACTGACCAGATAAATAGTCTCAGGCTTCATGGTGCCTGGCATTGATTTTTCTTATAGGACACTGTTTCTCCTCCCTACTCATTGCTTCTGTGGTAAACCATCACAATGATTTCTGAGTACGGAGGGCCTCAGAGATTCTGATCCTACGGTGTAAACATGGGGACATGAATTTCTTCTACTTAAATCTTCATAAGAGTGCTAAATATATGACTCCAGAGAAAAACATTTCCATTTGTTTTCTGTTTTCTTACCTATCAAAAAGTGATGATAATTTTCTTCTTGCCTACCTTAGTGAGATTTGATGAAAAACTAAAAGAAAATATATGTAGGAAATAGTACAAAAGAGCAAAGAGTACATGAGCGATTTCAACTCAAAATGCTATCCAGGGAGGTTTATTAAATTTTAATATGTATGTTTTTATCAGGGAAATCCTGGAGGCAAGACCCTGGAGGAAAGACGGTCCAGTCTGGATGCGGAGATCGATTCCTTGACCAGCATCCTGGCTGATCTGGAGTGCAGCTCTCCTTACAAACCTCGGCCCCCACAGGTAGGTGCTGTCCACAGCATCCCTCTTGCCATGGTCCTCACCCTATCAGGAGAATGAAGTGTACCTTAGAACCTTCCATTCTTTCTCCAACTCCTTAAAGTTGGTGGCCCAAGATGCACCTGACCCCTGATCTGAGAAGACCTCGCTATGTCACAACCTTCCTGTACCACCCCCCCGAGTGCATCCATGATAGGCATGCACCTCCATGCTGACCACGGTTCATCTTTGTTAACTCTCAGCTCATGCTGGATTACCAGCAGTGACTTCTTAAATGTGCATTGGCGGCTTCTTCCTGTCAAAGTTAGGTGGGTCCTTTTTGTCACTGTGTGGTTTGACCCGAAAATGCTTTTTTTTTCCTAATTGACAGTACATGCATTGCTGTGTGTCCCACTCTTGTTGGTGAACAGACGCCATTGTAGTGTCAGTGATCCCTTAACAAGTGCACAGTGCTGCTTCTCCGGGTTGGTAGAGGAAGGCACAGCTCATTTCATTGCTGTGCCCTTTTCCTGAACCTGTCTTTGTGGATATCCGCCTACACATTGTTGTGGTCTCTCCACATATGACTTGGCATGCATGTCTGAATAATGTTCTAGTGAGGGCATGTCTTGTTTTCCTTATGTTGCATGTGGAGGAAGCGTCTGTTTTTGTGGCTGTTAGTAGTAATGACAAATGCTACAGGGGACACAAGACCTCTACCAGTGTGATTCCCACACACAAGAGAAAAACTGACTTTTTTTTCTTTCCTCTAATCCCCATCGCCTGCTTTCCTTCCCTCTTTGAGACTAGGTCTTGGCTGACCTGGAACTCACTATATAAGTAAGGCTGGCTTTGAACTCATGGAGCTGCCTCTCAAGTGCTGGGATTAAAGTGATTTGCCACCAAACCTAGCCTTTTGGAAGTGTGTGCACACTGGTACAGAAGTTGAACTTTATTGTGTTTTTAGTGTTAATGGTGCATCGTTAAAGTTTCCTTTCCTATTTTTGCTTAGAGCTTGAAATTTTTTCTGCATTTTCATTCATCATCTCCATTTTTGAAGCTGGTATTCCATCACTGACCAGCACCCTCTACCTGGCTAAATATGAAAAGGGTGAAATCCATTGCAGGGCTCTGTGTCCTCAGAAGGATTCTAGATGTCAAAGTTTTTGTCACTGTGTGGTTTGACCCGAAAATGCTTTTATTTTTCTAATTGACAGTACATGCATCGCTGTGTGTCCCACTCTTGGTGGTGAACTCTGCATCGTCATTGTAGTGTCAGTGATCCCTTGACAACTAGAGCAGCCCAGCTTCCGTGCTGCCAATCACTCTTGCTTGTCTTCATCTAAGACGGACGTGTCCTTTTTCGACTCGCTCCCTATCCCCGTCCCTACTCATGTAATGGGACTGGCAGTTATGTTGGGCACAAAGGGCCAAAGAGACAGAAGATGAACTCATGTGTCTGTGTTGGCTTCACCAGTCCCGCCAGTGCACATGCTCGTCATGTCTTGTTCATTGGCTGAGCTTTGGGTGGAGAGCAGGCATGGAGGCTTTTGCGGGGAACTGAGAGGCAAAGGAAAGTGTTGGGAGCAGAGTCATTGTACCCGGTAGTTGTCTAGTAGCCCCTGGCACTCTGTGAGATAAACCCCAGCTGCTGTGGCAAGGGCACAGGAAGACAGCGATAGATTTTTAAGAAGGTGGCAGAACCTGAACAGTCTTACTCATAGGCTAGTGAATATAGCCAAAGACTGGGTGGAGTCGTGTCACTGGAGACTCAGGGCAGGGTGGGACTTTCAAGCCCATGAGGCTAAGGGAAACCACTCCATCAATGGCTTGCCTTGACTTTGAAGCCCTGGATCAGTTTTGATGCTCAACTGACGTTTTAGCTCGTCAATTATAGATCAAGAATGGCAAGTTCTTGAAGGGTCTCTAGCAGGGGAAAGCTAAAATTTATTCGGAACAGAAATGCTGGAAACAGGACCAACTCTGAAGATGCAGGGAGAGAGGCAGAAGCTCCTCCTGGAAATGAAACCTACATTATCATCTGACCTTAACCGATTTATAATTCCAGCCAATCAAATAAACGTTACATGCCTAGTTTCTCAGGATAGCAACTCCATGCCCTGCTACTAGACCAACCACCTTCTGCAAAATGCTTCTATGCACTCATTTTAAGCAGGGTTTTTGTTTGTTCTTTGTTTTTCACTTCTAGAGACTTCTTATTTTCCCCTCCATTTTTCTTAAACTGAAAGTTTTTCTCATAATTTTGTGGTTACAATGTACTCTTGCCTAACTCCTCTTGAGATTCTTCCCACCATTCCTCTACCTCAACCCACACCCTTTTCTCTGTCTCCTTAGAAAGCAAGCAGGCACCTAAACAATAATAATAAAATTAATATAAAACTAAAGCAAACAAACTGGAATAGGGCAAAACAAAAAAAAAGAGAAAGCACCAGAAACACATATAGACACAAAGACACACATTCATAGACGTGAGAATTCCATAAAACCTCAACAATGCAAGTAACTAGTAAGTTGGTGGTGGGGAGAGAGAGAAAGAAATGCTCCAGTGAAACATTATGAGACAAAGAAGCTGTTGTATGGAAAAGACTCTGCTGTGAGGTGTCTCCTTGTCATGGTTTTTCTGCCTTAGGTCTGTGTCTACATATGCCTCCCATGAAAAGTAGTGCATTCTGATTGGTTCATTCAGCTGTGGTCTTTGTGTCAGAATGGTCTTACTATACAAGCACACTCACAATTACTGACAACGTGAACAACAGGTTACTGATTGTGAAGCACATACCCAAGACTCCGCACGTGAGCCGCCACATCTCAGAGACAGGGGCTGTGCACTTGTTTTGTGGACAGAGCAGCCAAGACTTGGCCTATAAATGACTTAAGTTTTTGACTAGTATGTGAATACAGCTGGATCCAAACCTTGGACTTTTGCTTGACTGTATGTTCTAAAACCAGATTAAGACTTTGGTGGTTATTTTTAATTGTCGTACTATAGGAAGAAATCTCAAAGTCATTCATTTAAGTGACATTGTTCCTTAGGAATCACTTTCCCATAAAAAAGCAAAACATTCATGAGGTTCAAATAATAATTAGGATGACCTCTAAGTTGAATAATTTCATAATGAGGCTGAAGTCTACTTTCAGTGTGTCTGTTCCATACTCAAATCAAAGGTTGGTCTAGTCTGTTCTTTTCAATTATTCTAATTTAGGAAAGCAAGAGTTAATTAGGAGCTCCAGCTCCTCCCGAATTATCTTCGCTCCCGTGGAACTGAGTAGATGCGTTAGTATTTATTGCTAATGTAATTATATGCTGTGAGAACAATAATCACACACTTAAATATTAAAATACGTGCCAAGAGCAGATGATGTCTGCTGTAGACCGTGTTGTGTTGTGGCTACACGACACCTGAAATGTCCTCGAAGAATAGACTTTCATGCCTAACTTTGATGTTTTCTGTTTTTGAGGCAAACCAGATTTCAAATTCAACTGGTGAGTCACCTGAGCACCTCAAGTAGGTTACTTGGTCTGTGGTCCCCTACCCCTTAAGCGCTCATTTTGTCTTACCAGTTTGTTTCTGAATTACCTTTGTATGGCCACTTTGACTCATGATCTGCAAAAAGTGATACGTAATGTTTAATGTTTGTGCAGGAAGAGCTCCCAGAGAGCAAAGTCACATAACAACTCCGAAAGTGTCCCTGCTCTTGGTAGATTTTGCCAAAGCATTTCCCCCTTTTTAAAGAAGGATCTCGCATCTCATGTTGCCCGGTGTTAGTTCAGCTTCCTTTTTTTTTTTTTCCCTTGTGTCTCTTTGGACACTGCAGCTGAACTCCATATATTTGAAAATATAAAGGTCTTTTATAGCCAAGAGAGAGAAAAGTTGTCTGGAGCAACACAAAGAAGGACTTCACTGTGCTCTTTCTATTGCCATGTGCCCCCCACCCAAGTACTGAAACTATATCAAAAAATCATACAGATATTAGCATTGTGCATTTAAGAATCAGGGGAACCCCACCACACAGACAGCCATGTGTGCTCTTGACTGCATCTGTCCTGGGAAGTTCACTGAATTTCAGAAGTTACAACGGTGATGACAGTGAATATCTTGTCTAGTGCATAGGTTATTTCAACAGCAAAATAAAGTATGTGGCCTGTTAAGGAGAATGACGGATTTCAGAATTCAGATGAGCTTAAGACCTAGTAGCAGGCTTACTGCTTAAGGCTTTCACAGTAAAGAGGAATATTTATTAAGGAGATCGACAGTGTTTCTAATGCATTTACTGAAGTTTGTATCAAGTACACACATACATACACACACAAAGATATATTTATGTATGTGTGTATGAATATCATATAGCATAATCTATAAAATATTTTAGCGGGCTGGAGAGATGGCTCAGAGGTTAAGAGCATTGCCTGCTCTTCCAAAGGTCCTGAGTTCAATTCCCAGCAACCACATGGTGGCTCACAACCATCTGTAATGGCATACAGACAGAATATTGTATACATAATAAATAAATATTAAAATATTTTAGCAAAGTTTATATGGTAGAGATCATATATATTATAAGTATATAAAGTATAAAAATCAATATGAAAATATGTTTGTTAAAGTTTACTTAATGTATATGCATAATATATTGCACATAAATTATATATATAAACCACCTTTTGAAAAATTTACATGATGGATACACAAGCACACACATACACAAACATACAAACATATTCATGACACTACATGAATTATATAATTAAACATCTTAGTGTTTAGAATCAAAGCTTACAAGCATTTCATGTAAGATTAAGAGAATAATCTTAGAAGAATACACATGAGAATTGAAAAGGATTCTAGGTGAACTGCAGCCCAAGATGATCCAAAAATATCAGGACTTATTTGGCTCTTAGGTCATGCAGTCCAACTCATAATTTATAGGTAAAGAGTTTTTGTCCACACAACGCAGGACCATGACTCTAAAAGGCTTATTTAGTAGCAGGCAGAGGAATTGAT